GAGCTCCAGGCCTGCCAGGACTACATAGCGAGACCCTGTCACAAAAATAAAATTCAGGAGTCTGGAGAGATGGCTCAGTGGTTAAAAGAACTGACTGCTCTTCAGGAGGGCCTGAGTTCCCAGCAACCACATGGCGGCTCACAACCAACTGTAATGGGATTTGATGCCCTCTTCTGGTGTCTGAAGGAAGTGACAGCGTACTCATATAAATAAAATAAATACATTATAAGAAAATAAAATTCAGATTGATTTATGTGTATGTGTTTTTGCCTTTCTGTATGTCTGTGTACTACATGTGTGTTTGATGCCCAAGGAAGTCAGAGAGTGACTCACACTCCCTGGAATTGTAGTTACAGATACTTGTGAATCATCATTTGGTTGCTGAAAACTGAATCCCAATTCTCTGCATGAACAGTAATTGCTCTTAACTGCTGAGCTATGCCTTCAGCCCCTTTTTTGGCCCGGGGTTAATGGTGCATGTTATCTTCAATCCCAGAACTTGGGGAGGGGGGTAGAGGCAGGTGGATCTCTGAGTTCAAGGCCAGCCTGGTCTACAGAGCAAATTCCAGGACATTTGGAAATACATAGAGAAACCATGTCTCAAACAACAACAACAACAAAATCCCCAAACCAAAAACCAAAACCAAAAATTTGTTCTTTTGATTCCTGAATGCCAGATCTTACATGTTCTTCAAATTAGCATCAAACCCCAAACTTGTCAATCTCTTCCCCCTCTTCCCTGGGCTCCCACAATGCTGAGTTTACAGGCTTGTGACTCTGTACCCTTGTTTGTTCAATCTTCCCTTTTTTGTCCTGCTGTGTCCCAGAAGATAACCTTGAAACTCCGGATCCCACCCGCTGTGGTAGTAAGCACCTTTCATTCCAGCATTTGAGAGCCAGAGGCAGTTGAATCTCTGTGAGTTGAAGGCCAGCCTGGTCTACAGAGTGATTTTCAGTCTAACCTAGGCTACACACTGAGACCCTCTATCAAACAAACAAACAAACAAACAAACAAACAACTCCTGCTCCTCCTGCCTCAGCCTCTGAAGAAGGTGCACTATGTCTATTTCCTTTCTGAATAATTTGTTTTCCTCTGTCCCCAACAGCACCATCCCCTAACATCCTAACATATATCTTTTTTTTTTTTTTTATTGTAGACAGACCAGGGTCTGCCTCACATCAACCCATCTACAAGATCTCTGAATGCTAGGATTAAAAGCAAGGGCACTATAAGCCCTTTGCTGGGATCATTGAAAGTCTTCCTAAGCAACTTCCCTCATGTAGGATCTGTTCATGTCTGCCTCCTCTACCATCTTATCCATTACTCTGTGATTAACTTTTCCAAATATAGCTGTCACCAGCTTTTCATTATGCACAATATTAAGTTTCAACTCCACAGCCAAGACTAAGACTGTTTGTGACATAACCTTGACCTTTGTCTTTAACAGAATTGCTTATTGTAGCTGGAGATTCAGGTCAGTTGCTACAGTGTTTGCTCACCATTTATGAAGACCTGGATTCCACTCACAGTAATGCACAAAACAGGGGGTGGCAGCAAATGCCTGTAGCCACAACATTTGGGAGGTAGAGACAAGAAAATCGAAAGTTTAAAATTTGAAAGGAAAAAGTTCTCTCTGGAAGGATGGCTCAGTGGTTAAGAGAACCAGCTGCTCTTCCAGAGGTTCTGAGTTCAATTCCCAGCAACCACATTGGTAGCTTACAACCAATCTATGATGAGTTCTGGTGCCCTCTTCTGGCATGCAGGTGTATATGCAGATAGAACATTCATAAATAAATAAATCTTAAATAAAAAAGTTTTCATTACGGTGGGGCATCTTGCAGCAAGTTTATGGCTAGCCTGGGCTCCATGAGACTCTGTATCAGAAGAAAAGAAAATTGGCCAGTGAACTGCTATACAATACTGGGGAGTCACAGGTAAGGGAACCAGAAACTTAAGCAAATCAAACTAGACTATCTTTTCCTTTTGTTTTTGTTTTTGTTTATTTTCGAGATGGGGTTTCTCTGTGTAGCCTTGGCTGCCCTGGAACTCACTCTGTACACCAGGCTGTCCTGGAACTCAGAAATCCACCTGCCTCTACCTCCTAAGTGCTGGGATTAAAGGCATGTGCCACCACTGCCTGGCTGGACTATCTTTTCTTTATTGAACAAGTTATGGTTCCTTACTTGTGAGCACCTGAGTTCTGTCCTTGCCCATGATTAGCCATCTCATGGACAGTTTAACTGCTGTCTTCTTTGAAACATGTTTTTTTTTTTTTTTCTGTATTCCCATTTGGTTTTGTTTGTCTCCCTATGCAGCCCTGGCTGTCCTGGGACTTTTTTGTTTTCGTTTTGTTTTGAGTCAGGATTTCTCCGTGTAACAGCATTTGACTGTCCTGGAACTCTTTATGTAGACCAGGTTGGCTTTGAGGACACAGGAATCCACTAGTCTCTGCTTCTAAAGGGATATAACAAGCCACCATGGCCAGTGGCATTCCTATTTATTTGTGTGATATACATTTCTATTAATAATGCACTCATGCCATGAAAAAAGCAAATTCTTTGAGAGACAGGATTAAGCTCTCTCTTTTAGCTAGGAATACTATTTTCCAGATATTCTAAATGTGGGAAAGGTGGACAAGAGTCATCTTTCTGTATATCTATCATCTGCTGGGCATGATAGCACACATCTGTCTAGCAAAGAGGCTGGTGTGCCCGGATCTTGTCCTAGTTGCTGTGATACAGGGAACATTCACTAGACTATTGTAGGATACACACTTGCTCTCTTTAAAACATTTTTGCTTGAGATGGATCGCAGGATTACACACCACCACATCCAGTTCCTTTGGTGCTGCAGGTCCTTCTAGAGCGTGTTGAAGTCTATGTAACATAGTTACATCCTCAAGTCCTTATTCTTATTCTTTCTAACAGGTTTCACTCTGTAGCCCAGGGTGGCTTTGACAGAGCCATGTAGGACAGGCTGGCTTTACACTCTTGGCATTTTTCCTGACCCTGCCTTTCCAATGTTGTCGTCACAAGCATGAGCCGCCACCATGCCAAGCGATTTTACATCTTTAGGATCAACAAGAAGGCACAGTGGGATAAGTGTACTTTTTACTAAACCTGAAGGTTTGATCCAAAAGAGTCACATGGTGCAAGGAGAAAAACACCCGACCTCCACACAACATGAACGAATGTGTAACTTACAAACATTGCCTTAGCTGTTATGTCACGAGCAGACAGTAGAGGGCAAGGGAAAGCAGGGAGACTAACCGAGGTTTTTTTTTTTTTTTTAGTTTATGGACAGAACACAATGTTCCTGTTTGTGGAAGAGTGAAAGCTGAATGAATGGTATAGTTAGGAGAGAGAGAAGATTGGGAGTTTAAATGTTGGGGACCTAGATGTCAGTTACAAATGGGTTAAAGTGCCTAGCATTTGATAAGCTCTGAGCTCTGAGTTCAATCACCAGTCTCTCTTCTCTGTCTCTCTCTCATACACACACATACAGAAAGAGAGAGGGGGGGAGGAAGAGGAGAAGGAGAAGTAGGAGAAAGAAGGAGAAGAAAGAGGAGGAAAGGAAGGAGGAAGAGGAGGAGGGGGAGGAGGAGGAGGAGGAGGAGGAGGAGGAGGAGGAGGAGGAGGAGG